TTCCACCCCAAACGAGCACTCCTGCACCACCGTAACGGTGTCGTTCAATGATGTTTTCTTGGTGGTAACGGGTACCTGGAGAGAATCAGACTGCAAGCTAAACCTGGACTCGTCGGAAAACATCACACAAGCCCACTGCTGCGGTGTCCACAATGCATGCTCTCTACTCCAGGCTAACCGCAGGGGACAGTGAGTTGCAGTAAGTGGAACGCATCTGACAGGTCTACGATCATATAGACCAATCTGCCCTAAGCGTCTGTACACGGTCTGCCTTGAAATTGTCGTACCAGTGGCTGAAGAGAGCTGACGAGACATGTCTGAGGCTGTACTCCGCCTGTTTCTTTTGGCAGTAACTGCCAAATACCAGTTCTCATTCGGCGTTGTAACTCTGGAGCGACTTGTGCTGTAACGTCTACTCACATTACCGTCATCTTGGAATTGTTGCCAAAGCCTGGAGATGACACTCTGGGCAATTCCAAGTTCGTATGATACTTCCAGTTGGGTACGCCCACATTCCAGACGGTCGATAATTCTACCACGTAAAAAATCATCCAAATGCGTCCTTTGTGTCATAACTATTCGGTTATTGCACTGGAATGCTTATAAAGCGCTGCGAACAATTTTACTTCTTTGCCTGTATTCCTTATATATCACTCTCTTACACTCTCGTCATTGTGACGTACCATCGATGTCATCTGGTTACTTCCTAAAACTTGCATATGATTCTCGAAGATGTGTGTAGTGATTTTACAGGTGATATATTTATTTTAGAGTTCGATTTCCGCGTGACTCCGAATTATCCTTAATTTATGGACATGAGGGTAGTATTTTTAAAGATCTTTTTCGAATTTTGAAACTGAAATGTTAAGAAATGGAATACAAAATCTGAAGTGAATGACATCATATAAAAACTTTAACATGCACGTCTAAAAATAAATGGGATGCTAAAATGAAAAAAAAAAAAAAAAATTCAGAACTACTTAGGGCACGTGATCATAATCCTATAATTGTCTCATTATCTAGTTGTTAAAAATGTGTAGTTCCTTAGAAAATTTTAACTTAAACAGCTTGGTTCACTGAAAAACTAACGGATAACGATGAATGTAAGAAATGTGGATCCATTTATGTAGAAATCTATATTAAAAATGAAAACTTTCAGATTTTACATTACATCCAAAGGGGCGTTTTTTTTTTTTTTTTTCCTTTAACATTTTGTGTGTTACCTTTATTTATTAAATATCATGTTCTCGCACTTAAATCATAAAATTCAGTTCAAGAACAATATCGCAAAGTAATTTTAAAATGAGCATATCTTTAGAATTTCTGATACACAGTCTCGCGCGATGGAGATAAAACGTTTTTTTCTGTACAAAGTTGACATTGCTCGCTTTGAAACCGTTGAGTTTGTTAATCAAAAATTCGTTAAAGTTTTACAAAATATGAAATCTATAATAATACAAGTCCAAAATTTGGGCTTCCAGGTACCCATATTCGCAGGAAGATTACGTTATTCAAAATTGGATGGCTCTAGGTAGCGTTGTTTTATCACAATGCGAGAAACATACATACATTTATGCAGATTCTTCATTATTTAATTTTTTTAATTATAATACAGGGCGATAATATTTGGTGGCAACAATTTGAAAGGTGAAACAACGCTTATCGTGAATCGACGCAAAATGCCAAAACGAAATCTGGGCAAATTGCCCCTTTGAATTAAAAAAAACTTCTAAAAGTTTTTAAATGAAGAAAACAATGTAATTTGAATTTTTTCTGAGAATTTTTTGTAAATGTTGATACTTGCGACATAAATATATCATCGTAATTATTTTTCCGTTCACTTGATTAAAAACGAAAAGATTGATATTTAAAAAGCCCGATAACTACATTGTTTTAAATTGCAGTAGAAGCGCTTACTAACATGTAATCATCTTGCACTTCCTTTAAAACGAATTTTATTATTGCTGATAAAATAGAAACAGCGGAAATAGGAATGTCGTAATAACTGATAACTAATATTTTATTGTGAACTTATCATTTTGGAAATTGGCAACATAAAATGACTCAAGCAAAAAAGAACTACAAGGTAGTGTAAATAACAGGAAGTCGAATGATATAAAATTGTTGCAGCAAAATCTTTGCTTTTTCTCTATGTATGTACTCTGTCAAAATAATAGTTTGATAAAATTATTTATTCTTTCTTAATTATATGAGACAAGTCAGTATAAATAATTATTTTGTTTACAAAAAAATGTTTTTTACGCTTAAAAAATTTCAGAAAAGTAGATCTAAAATATAAAATAATGTTTATAATTGTATTTTTAATTTTGTCACTGTAGTGATTAAAAGGGAAAATTTGCATTTTAAATTCTAAAATTTAAAAATGCAATATGCATACACTCTAAAGTAACACTAAAATTTATTCCCCTATTCCATCTTATAGTTTTGTTTTATGTTTATTATCATTTTCAAAAAACTTCTAAATCAGAAATTTTATAAAACAATATTATATATATTTCAATTAAAATCTTCTAATAATCAAAATTGTCACTTTTAAAAAATGACTATAAAATGAAATGCCATTTAAAAATTGTTAAATTCTAGGTTAAAATTTTAGATAATTATTTTTTTAACTTCTTAACTATATATCTTTATTGTGTCGTTACACAATAATCATTTAAAATGAACTTATCATAATTTATTAGTGAATTAACTTTCTGCAGGTCGATTTAGTAAACGTGATTAACAGATTTTTAGAAACAAATGTCAAGTTATTCAAGATGCATCATAGCTTCATTACTATAGATAAGTTAATGATTAATTCTTTAAGCAATAATTTTTTGACAATTTCCCAGAAATTATTTACTGCAATAATTTGACAATAATTGATAAACTTGACAATTTATTTAGTGCATTTAAATCCCTAAATTTAGAAGGTATGCAAGGGTAGGGAATTAAGACTGTATTAAATTCAGTAAGAAATTAACTTCTTTAATTTATTAACTTCAAATTTATTAACACTTTACGGCTCTTAATGAACTAATCATGTACTGCGGGATTAGCATGCTACTTTAAGAAATAGTGCATACAATTTAACATTCCAAGCTTTTCTTGATTTAAATACTTAACATGTGTTGTTGCATTACTAGATTACATCAAGTAATAAACAACTTTCGGTTCACATAGATGCAGAGGACTTACTTAAAAAATAAATGAAAGAATTTAGAACTGCTCGCCATATTGTGGCTACATATATATTGTACTATAATTCATAATTATTATTATCAGTTTATTAATATATGAAAATTTATGTTTTCGTAATTCGTCACTTTTCAAAGCATTAAATAGGTTATGCGTATTGATTATAAAGTAGCTTCTAAGCAACTTTATTTGAGAAATTCATTCATTTGTTTTGAGAAATTCATTCATTTGTACTGTACAAAAATTTATTTCCATATTCTATTCCTCGTTGAATTAAATTTTAAACATTTTTGCAAAAATTACAGGGTTGTTTTTTTTTCCCCTCCTATTTGAGAAGATACTCTTAAGTATACTGCAGCATTTTCTCAAATATTAATACAAGCATGTGCAGCGAATTAGACACACAATTTTTTGAGAAACTTTTTTTTCTTCTCCTAACAGTATAATATTCATTTCGTTAGTTCAGCCAACTTCTTCGGGATTGCTACATCTTCCGGTACACGTCTATTATCAGGAACTTATTTAGAAATGTATGTAGCACGTGTATATGTGTGTGTGTATACACACACATACATACATCATGTGTGTATACACACGTACGTATATACACATGCATACATGAACACATACATCTACACACATACGTTGCATGTATACATATATTTCTCAATTCGTTCCTGATAATAGAAAAGCACCCTTCTTCCTTTCCTTTAAAAAAATAATTCCTCCTCCCCCCTTCCGAGGATCTTGATCGGTCTGAGGACATTTACCACATCCCGGCAATATTTCTGGTTTTAATATAAATATGAAAACTATAACCGTTACTAAATTTTAAGCGCAATGTTCTTTGCTACTTTGCCATAAATAAATGATCAGCCCAATCTTTTAATTAGATGATGCAAATTAGTAAATAAATAAAAAAAATACACACACACACTGAAGGTTCTCAGTGTATGTGTGTATTTTTTTTAACTGAAAGCTTTCAGATGTTTATATTACGCCTTTCCATTTGCACACACATACACGTTTCGAGAGCATTTGGGTTAACGCCCCTTTCGATTAAAAATATTTAAAAACAGCATATCTTTAGAATTTCCGATAGACAGTCCTGCGCACTGGAGATAAAAATGTTTTATTCCATACAGTGTTGCCACTGCTCGCCTTGAAATCGTTGAGATTTTTTATCAAAGATTTGTTAAAGTTTTACAGCATATGAAATAGATAATAAAACAAATTCGATATTCAAAATTTCGGGCTTCCGGGTGCCCATATCCTGGTGGAGGACTCTGTTATTCAAAATTTGATGGCTCTGGGTACCGTTGCTTTCTCACAATGCGATAAACATGGATACATTCGTGCAGATTCTTCATTAATTGATTTCTTTAAATTTCTTCAAATATATAATACAGGGCGATACTATTTGGTGACTACAGTTTGAAAAGTGATTCAACGCTTTTAGTGATTCGACGCAAAATGCCGTTTCGAGACTAATATCCCTTCTGGGCTAGACTAATAATTGTTTTTACGAATATTTTGAGATTAGTATTGAAATATTTTGATGCTATTTATAGAAGTCCCTCATTCCACCTGGTACCCAATTTTGAATGGAATTACCAGTTTCCAATCCTTTCATCCGCACTGACATTGACAGGACTAAAACATAGGAACGAAACAGTGTACGGAATATTAAATTTCAACCCAAAGAAATGTGTAGCTAGTAATATATCCTGTTGAAATCTCGATTGTACGAGTAAAATTCTTCAAATAAACATTGAACCAAAAGAAGCGTGCAAACTTACCTCCTCCCCTTCTGTGACAAGACTAGATTTCAGATCCATTAGATTTTCAGACGATCGGTTCTCCTCTTCATCACCTTCATCTTTAAACACTTTAATTTCGTCTGAAGAGGCGAGATCATCACCGCCGCTGGCCGCCCCCACGTGAGGCATGGCACCCCTTTCTTGACCGGCGAAAGAAACTCACCGCTTCGAATTTCAGAAAGAACACCAGTTTGGGGGTGCAGGCTGTCTTGCAGTCATCGTCTGTAACGGACCCGCGACAACGATTCCAGACAAAATATTGTTTAGACAGAAAGAAGGAATTCGAAAATAACGTCTGCGAGGTGGAGAGCTAGATAAAAGCGATGAAAAGTTCCCACACAAACGTTGCGTACGATCGCTAGGCGCGGACTGTTCATGTTTAGCTGGGATCCGATGAACTACCCCGTCCCCCTGCGCCCCACACCTTCGTTCCTCGTGTGTTTCGACCCCCGTGCAGCTTAGTTTCGTTCGGCAAGTGCCAAACCGCAACTTTGCCGGCGAATCGCCGGGCGGCCCGACTCGGCTTGCCCAATCGCAGCCCGGGCGAGGTTACCGTGCGCCGGTCGCAAGATAGTTTACCGATGTTTTCCGTCGCCAAGCGTCGGTCGCCAAATTCGTAGAAGCGGTGATAACCGTCAAGAGACGCATCTATCATTGTATCAAAGAGCCTTGAATCGGTGTCGTGACCCGGTGGCAATGTGTGTCGAGCGTATTTTGCTTTGCCCGAGCAGCTATTGCTTGGGATCAGAAGCTTGCTCTGAGTCCCCCCCCCGTTTTGATTCATTCACGAAACAATATTCTAGATAAAGCACAACAAAACAAATATGTTATTTATAGAAATGGATTTTCACTGCACTGTAATCCAAATAATAATACAGTATTATCTGCTATTTAGATCTGGAAATAAAGTAATAGCGTACCCAAACAAGATCTGAGGTAGATATCTTCCTTCAGTACTTTCATTACTTACTCGCATTTATAAATAATATACAGTAAGACCCCGCTTAACGCGGGGGATACGTTCCATTAAAGTAGAGCGTAATGCGAAACAGCGCTAAACGAGGCTATCTTTACATGTAAATATTGGGGTTAGGGAAAGATGGCTAGGAAAGGGTTAGGTATTAAATTTAAAAAAGTACGTTTTTTAATAAAAATAAAACCAACATTTATTTCTTAAAGCCCAATTAATACCACATATTATTTTCTTGCAAAAATAAAAAACAAAATATAAATAACAAAACGAATATTCTTAAAAAAAAAAACAAATAAAATTCTAAGTCAGTCTATTTAGTTAGCCTTCCGCGTTTTCAGTGTTCTGCCTTTTGTGACAAAAGCATCTAATGTGTTGTCTTTTTCTTTTGCGTTGTTCTCTTAAAGTTCTTCATAAACGGATAGAGCATCTCTAACACCACGCCTTACTTTAGAGCTCCTGTCAAAATTCGGATCATTTCCAATGAATTGATCCATTATTTCAGTTATGGTAGACAAACCCTTTTCAAACGCCATCGAAAGTTTTTTGCTCTTCTGAATCACTGCTGCCACATTTGTTTTCTTCTTGTTCAGTTAATTCCTTGAGCTCATCATTAGAAAGACTAGCACTGCTTCTTGAATTATTTCTGGACATCTTCCATTAACCCTTCAAAATGTCTGTACAATACCGCCACCAAACAAGAAGTACAAATACACTCTTTCGGATATGTATTTGAAACCTATCGCTGCATAATATTTCGGGAATCCCGTATGCTGCGAGCGATTTCGTGGAATCCCCGGGTTGAAATAAAAGAGCGCTAAACCGAAACAGCGCTAAACGAAACAGCGTTAAGCGGGGCCTTACTGTACACTCTTTCGGATATGTATTTGAAACCTATCGCTGCATAATATTTCGAGGAATCCCCGTATGCTGCGAGCGATTTCGTGGAATCCCCGGGTTGAAATAAAAGAGCGCTAAACCGAAACAGCGCTAAACCGAAACAGCGCTAAACGAAACAGCGTTAAGCGGGGTCTTACTGTACTTGCTTTCTTCAGACGAACAGTTTAAATCTGCGTAAATAAAATATGTTCTCATAATTTTAATACATACATAATTATTTTATGAAAGAGAAATTTGAGTATCGAATTAAAATAGCTTTATCTTCTTTAAAATGTAGACAAAATATAAGCACAATGAAATCCGTTAAAAGAAGAAGCCAATTGTTCATTATTATTATTATTATTGTAGTGTTAGTAAAATTGTCTTCAGGAAAAAATTCATTTGTAAAATTTGAAGAAGATTATATTCCTTTTTAAGTGTGACATTGCTTGTTGTTGTGTCTCGTTGTGATTTATCTCAGCTGTCTGACATTAACATCAGAACAAGCCCATGAAATTCATCGTGGGAAGGAAGGCCAGATTGCGTTGTCGTTGGCAAAACCCTTGAGCACCATACAGGTGTCAGTACGACTTTGATCAATTTGGCCAAAAATGTCGATGGAGAGCACCTCGAGGGGACGGGTCCAAGGGTCTCTCACCCCTCTTTCCCTACCACCAACCTCTCGAGGACTTTCAGCTCGCTGCATATTTAGAGTGCCCTCATGCCGCACAAACATTATACATTTACAAACACCGATGCTTTCTCCAGGATTCGAACTGTGCCCTTCGACAAGGCAGTCGGCGTCGCTAACAACTATTCTGATTCGGCGATGTGGCATTGCTTTCTATAGATCAAGCATCCGTAAAATAAATTATTTTAAAGCATTAACATAATTCATACATTTATTATATTTACCTAAAAAGCTGAAGACATTGTATTCCTTCTAACTTAATCTATTCATCAGTTTCTAATTGATAAAAGTGAAATTTCAAATTCATATGAAATATTTTATTTATTTTTTTTTTTTTTTTAATGTAGAGAAATCAAACCGTACTCAAACTGGTGGGGGAGAGCGAAGAAAAATCCATTTTTAATCCAAAGGGGCTTTGTCCGTGAAGGACTATTGTTTACTTTTTGCGATTTTGCGTTGAATCACTATAAATATCAGTTTCACTTTTCAAATTGTTGCCACCAAATGTTAAAGTCCTGCATTATACTGAAGAAATTAAATAATGAAAAATCTGCATAAATGTATATTTCTCGCATTGTGATAAAACAACGGTACATAGAGCCATCGAATATTGAATGACGTAATCCTCCCCTCGAATATGGGCATGTGGAAGACCAAATTTGAAATTTGGAATTTGTTTTATTATCGATTTCAGATTTTATAAAACTTTAACGAATTTTTGATTAACAAACTCAAGAATTTCAAAGCGAGCAATAGCAACACTCTACCGGAAAAAAAAAAAAAAAAAAAAAAAAAAAACTTTTGATCTCTAGCGAGCGGAACTGTGTATCGAAAATTCTAAAGATAGGCTCATTTTAAAATTATTTTGCGACATTGCTATTGAACTGAATTTTATGGTTTAAGTGCAAAGAACATGATATTTAATAAATAAAGGTAACACACAAAACGTTAAAAAAAACGCTCCTTTGGACTTGATTTAAAATCTGAAACCTTTCAGATTTTTCCCCCCTATGACGCGTTATCAGCTGCTGATGAACTCAATAAATATAATACATTAATCAGGAAGGATGTCGGGGGAAAGACAATATTCATTAATTCCATTCCCCATCCCGTGATATTCCTGTAATCAATATAAGTAAGATTCCTGATTGAAATGACACATCAAGTCAAGATATAGGAAATCTCGTTAAATAAACTGACTTTTTAAATGGTCAGTTATTTACATTTTCGATTTTATTTACATTTATTTTCGATTGATACATGAAGTTACATTAGAAACAGTTTACATAATGGATTACATACATTGCTTTAGAAATCACATTAGATACTCCACATTAAAGTCACTCATATCATACCAGATGCATCACATTAAAAACATACTTTACGCAGTGTAAATTATTTACAAACTTTTTGTTTGTGTATTATTTTAACTAACCAAACATTCAGGAAATTCAAAAGTTGAAATTTTCTAAGATTTTTCTGCTTAGTTTTCATCTTTATCTTAAATCCCACTGAATCAAATAATTCTATGTCCTTTAAAAATTCATACAATATCAACCCACCAGTCTCCGAATGTATAAAGTCATCGAACACTGGTAGTTTCCTCTCAGGTTCCAAGTTTCATTTCAGACTTTTGTTGGCATAAATATGTAGATAAGAAGAATTTTGGAATAAGGATTCGCTGAAGAATAAATCATGCTTTTTTCCATCATTTAATTCATAATCTTCATATTGCCAGAGCTACTATGTGCTGCTACTTAAATACAAAAGTGTGGGAGGAAAGTCTTCAAATCTTCATAAACTGCCTATCTATATAGTTGAAGTAATTAACAAAAAATATCAGAAAAAGCCAAATAATGCTGCACAAAGGGCGTAACATATTGTGTTAGAATCATCTTTTAGTTATTACTAGCGTTTTGGGCATATTCTCATTTTTATCGATTAGATGTGTTTTTAAAAAATAAAATAAAGATCTGAATTATTAAGAAATGAATTTATTATTATTTTTTAAATCGCTTAGCAGAGCAGTTATTGGTTATATTTTAAACATTGAATGGCAACATATGATGTTTACGCTTTGCATTTATTACGCTACTAAAATACGCTTGCATTTAGTATTAAAGAATAATAAAGGATAATTACATTGAAATCAAACTAAGCTTTTATTATAGATCAAAAGGACACGTGCGTAAACAAAGAACGTAAACACTTCTAAACACATATTAACCTCTATATAATTTTCAAAAAATACTGCTTAAATATTACCTCTAATGCCAACCATGCTCAGAATATTGAAAACAGAAAGTTACATCATCTCGGTTCTCGAACATAGAATTATTTAATAACATGTATGACCTTCTTTAGCAGAAATGCAGACTTCACAACGTAGTTCCATGTTGTTAATAAAGCTTCAGTTAAATCCTGGACGATCAAACATCATTGTTTGGTCATATCTGAGCTCCTGGTGACTTCCAGATTGGAGTTAGCACAACGAAACGGACGAACTCCTTAGGATATTTCAAACAAGCTCAAGAGAATGAGGTCAGACGACTGTGGCAACTAATCCATGCCAGCTCCTGGGACCCCCAAAGGAGAAGTTTTTTTGCTGTTGGCCGGGAGCTTTATTTAATAGCCATTAGCCTTGCGCTACTACAAGGGGTGGAAGTGGTGGCCATTTCATTATGGAAGCACTTAATAGGTGGCCATTGTTGCCTCCAAGGAGGAAATTAACACACAGAAACATGACGAACCTTTTAAGATATTTCAAACAAGCTCAAGAGGAATGATGTCAGACGACCATGGCAACCAATCCATGCAAGCTCCTTGGAGAGCCCAAGGAGGAAGTTAACGCACGGAAGCATGACGAACCCCTTAGGATATTTCAAACAAGCTCTAGATGAATGAGGCCAGACTACACAACCAAT